GTTCAGCGATGAAGTAGGCATGGAGACCACCCAGCGTGGAACCATGGAGATGGAGGACCATAAATACGACCAGGTTGAACTTGCAAGACTCCATGTTCCAAATGATGTTATGTGCCCAAGTATTCATCTTGCCATCTGCCAGGATCCTGAGGGTGCTCTTCTAGATGATGAAGGCTTGATCCCTGATCGCGTGTCCAAGCTGCTTCCAGAGGTGGACGACAAAGCGGCCGGTGAGGGTACGGTTCAGCCCGGGACTGGAGCAAGTTTCAAGTGCATGTCTTAGATCTAAGGTGACAATTCAATGAGCTACTTATGACACTGGCAAACCATTTCTGGACAGCTTAGGCTTGTGTTTCCGTCACTTCAAGAAAACAGCAGCCCGCTGAACGTCATCACCCACTTTCTGGAAACACTTGGTCGGAAGATTGATCAGGCTGATATTGAGAAGGTGAGGACACTGCTAAATCTAGCTAGTTTCTTTGGATCCTACCTGCTCCCTAGGAGAAGTTGCAATCCAAGACCTGTGCCAAGGCGACCCAGTTCCATGTCGACATAATATGCAATAAATATATTGTACACGCACCGCTATATATTGTTAATGGTGGTAAATGGGCCCCCACACTTATTCCATGAGGTTGCGCAAGAATCTGGAGAACATCATTGCTATGATGAACACCCAATACGATGATCTTTCAACGCTTCAAGCCGATGCTTTGGTTGGAGCGTTTGAGACTTAGATACCTCCTGCCGTGTGCATACAACAGTCTTCTCACATATGCGGTTGGTGAGTGTAAGGTGTGACGCCAATGCCATGAAGGAGAAAATGAAAGATGTGACCAAGACCGATGTCGCGCTGAACAACCTTCTTGTTCGTGCCAGGACGGGTTTCCTTGTCGGTGCCACTCATGAGTCTCCCCGTTCGTCCCTTCCAGCAGGAATGTGAAGTCCTTGTCGGGCCCACCTGGCAAGGCTGCTGCTTCGCCAAAACGGCGCACCGCTCCAAAAGCCTCACCAAAGGTGAAAGGCAAACCCAAATGCAAGGCAAAGGGCAAGAACAAGGCAAAGGGAAAAGCCCTTAAGACCAAGGATGAAGTAGAAGAGCCAAACTAGGTCTGCTTGCTTTTTGCATGGTTGTTTTCATGCCATATGGCATGAAGGGGATCCAATTAGGCAACCAGTCAAGAGGCTGGAATTGGTCTTTTGCCAAACGCTCACGGTACACGCATGATTTGTGTGAGAGAGCTTGCGCAGTAAAAAACTGTGCCTACTTTGTGCAATGTGCAGTTTGTAATCTTCCTGGATCTTTGCCCGCACTTCTTGGAAGGACCCACTTGTGGCTGCACATTGCATGTTTACATAATCTGGGTCCTGTGTCCTTGAAGGTGCCTGGACAGAGCAAGACGACTCAGATTCTGAAAAAGGCCAGGACAGCCCCAAACCAAACATATATGTACAATGTGCACGTTGCAGGTGAAGACGACGACCGCTCGAGTCAAACACCTTCAGACCTGGCGGATGAGCTCCTGCGGAGCTTTGAAACTGGAGCCACTCTTCTGCATACATCCCTGGAAAAGTCTATTGTTTCATGCTGCACAGTGCCCAGGCTGACAGCGCCTACAGAGTTGTGCGCTTGGCCCGCGTTGCTTCCAACCGTATGAAGAGATTGGGCCCCTCGACAATTATATAAAGGAAAGTGATTTCAAAGCAACGTACTCTGTGAAAGTGTGTTTGGTTTCCATGACATAAGCATTGATTGGCCGCCTAAGGTGTTCGGGACCGCTCCCTTGATTTGATAGCCCGTTCAGGAAGGACATCCAAGAAGAGCTACCGAAACATTTCGCGCAACTTTCACAATCGCTTGGAGCGGGGTGGCTTGAGGCTGCCGGTGAAAGTTTCGATGGTGCCATTGTGTGTTCTGCAGCACCGTCCCAAAGTGCAAGAGGTCTTCATCGACTACCCCATGATAGCCCTAAAAGATTGGGCTGCATATTTGCTGAACCACCATCCCCATATCTTGCTTGGGGGCTGTTCCATTGATGATGTTGACACCTATACTCATGTGTACTCTGAGTTCTGGCAAAGGTATTATGTATTAGATCGCGAACATCCCTTTTTTTGAACACCACCACCCTGATGAGTGGGGCCGATGCCTCCCCTTTTGCTTACACGGTGATGAGGGCCGAGGAAAAGGGAAAACTCCGATTTTGATCAACAGCTTCCAAATGGTAGTGGGTCCTGCTGGCATTGACCATACCAACATGTCTGGGAAACTGGGCCTCTTCTTTCGCAAGCTTTCAACTATGTCATGTGTTTTTCTTCCCAAAGTGCACCCTTCTCGATGTTCTTTTTTACCCACGATGTCCATGGTGCCTCGGCCAAGGAGCTCCTTGTGCACACGGCTTTTGGCCTCAATGATGCCGGCCACAATGTATGCAAAGAATGACAGAACCCTGGACTCAATGGCCAAGTTTGTGGTTGATGATCTCACTGAATGCTTCTACACTGGGGTTGAAGAGTCCAAACTGAAGAGGTAATCTTTCATTTGTTGTTCTTTGTGGGGTTGAAAGAAATTCTATAAAGAGTCGCGTTGGCTGAACCAGCGAGTTAGGTAGTTGGAGACGAGACAAAGTCGCAAGAATCCCAAGTCTTTTACCTGATATACGTTGGGGGTAAGGGAGATTGGCCTGCCCTACGGAAGAGCTATGGCCTTAAGACAGGCCCGACATCAAAAAGAATCTGCCACCTTTGCGATGAACCAGCTCCTAGGTTCCTAGAGCACGTTTTTGGTTGGTCCCGTATCTAATTTCTGAGGAACATATATATGAAAGCTTATTCCCAAAGCTCGCTCAGCTAGGATTGGTGGCATCTGGGGCGGAATGGGGCCTTGAAGTCATGGAATGGACGAGGTCCATCACCGTGGAAGGCAAAACGAGCGTTGCTTTTAGATGTGCCAGGTGCTGCAGAAGCAAAGCGGATCAGGAGTGACCTCGCCCACATCTGGGCGATTGGGACGGGGAAGGAGTTTTGCGGATCCACCATCATATTGTTTGCCCAAATGAAGATTTGGCCGGGAAGATCCATGGGTGCAAGGTTGGAGGTTGCCTACCAGCAGTTTAGGCGATGGCGCTGGGAAAACAAAGAGACATGCAAAATCACAGAGTTTGCCCTTCGCACTTTCAAGATCCAAACGTCCCTCCTTCTGCTTAGCATGCGCTTTCTTAATACAAATTTATATATAGAGATAAAATATGTTATATATATGCTGCTAGTAATGCAAATTGTTTTTTTTCACCAAGCGGTACCCCAGCCACCATGGCTTAGGCTAAAGCAATACCCTGGGCTTCAAGGCCAAGGTCATGACTGCATTGTGATTCACAAATGGCTGTCCCATCTTTGCAAAGAAATTTCGCTGGAAGATCTAGAGCCCAAGAGTAATTGAGTGGAGTCCTTTTCCTAAGTGGGATGGTGTATCTGACTAAAGACTTGTGCAATGGGGACTTCTCTAAAACCTCCTGGCCCAGGAACCTGACAAGGTGAACCTCTTCCAAGCCGTGAAGTACACAGCGGACTCTGGAAACAAGTGGTTCAGAAGCCTATACCGATATGGGGTCTGGATTCCAGGTTCTGAAGTGCCACGGTTGGTTGACTTTGCATGGGGCCTTACGGATCCTTGGATTTCAGGGCCAGTGTTATAACTTTTGAGTATGTGCCATAGTACGACTCTTATAAAGCTATGAGTGGACCCATCTGCGTTTGTGGTTTTGTTGCATGAAAGGATGGCTATGGATGCTGCGCAAGCCTTTGCACTTCCATGGGTTTGCATCTTTATCGGACCAAGCCCAAGCTGCATATGCATGACCACATCACGATTCTTGAATGAGCTTAAAGAATATTTCTTATGTGCGTGTGCGGATCCAGTGACCATCAATGGAGCCGCCCACAACCCTTTCATGTCACCCATGCAGGTATGAGCTTGCCTTCAATGGCATCACCAAACATGCAGCGTATGTCCTCAACCCATTAAGCCTGCTGAGCTGTGGCTTCAACAAGTTTTCAAGTGCACTTGTTTCTATGGATCCACTAGTGTTTCAATCAACAGAAGCTTTCTTTGGAAATATAGATCACCCAAGGTTGGGCTTGCTGGCAGGATGAAGACTTTGTTGGGAGATGCTCTCGCATCAGCAGACGCACTCACCAGTTTACTACATGCTTGAGATCTTTTCAAAGGATCCTTATGCTCTATAAGCGCCAGTTTGGTCCCTGACCTCAGCCCAGACCTTACTGAGGCACCCAGGCAAAAATGAAGTCCGCGATGTGGTGTGGCAGACGGTGCAGGGGGATCAGTTGTTGAGGGAATGGACATTCTGGTGGTTATAGCAATTGTTGCTCGAGCACTTTTTGAGACAACGAGCAGAAATCTCAGGGTCGTCCTCTTTTTGCACCAAACGAGCTGTTATTTTTCGTGGCAGAAATTTATGTTACAAATGAACCTCCTGGAGTCTTCCTAAAAGAAGAACATGCAATTCACTGCTTCATGCCCTATGCCACATCCACAGCCCCAAGCATGCCAGGTGAGCGGTGCTAGTTGATTCATTTGATGTTTCCTGGTTTGCCTCGCTGGGCCGAAGTTTCCTGCTACCTTCCGGAATCGAAGGCCCTCTCACAGCTTCAGCGCGGAGGGTGTGAGGGCTTGTACGGTCCCAAGGAATCGGGTCTTGATGGAATCGTTGGTCGAGCGGCGGAGCGTGAATATGCGTGAATTGAAAGGCCAGCTTTCCTCGCTCCAACATCCCAAAATGCTTTGGTCGGTGGTCCGAAAAAAGGGGGTGCTCAAAAACATTCAACAACTTAATGACACACATATTACACACATGTGTTCACTTCCTTGAGTAATAGAATCACGAAGATGCACATGTGAGTCGTTTAGAGTCTTGTTTCATTCGTGACCATCTAACACTTTCCCACTTTCGATTCATTTGCTTCTCGCGACCACGGTCCAGGTACCTGTACGACGTGTCCCTTCCGCTCAAGCTCCCGGGGTGCGGGCCCTAAGCGAGTGTTGCGGACGGGTGCTGACTGGGTGCGACTCGTTCACGCAATGAGGGATTGAGCCCAATGAGTCCCCACTATTAAAGGATCCAGCCACCCTCAGTGAGGGTGGCTGGATTCAAAGGTCATCCCCTTTTTTTCGTGGACAACGTCTGGCACCACCAGGACCAGTAGACTCGGACGATGAACACGTACGTCTGTATACTCCTCACGAAGCGAAAGGAAAGACTGTCACCCCAAGTGGAGAGTGGTAAATCTGCCACGCAATTCGTATCTTTTCAATCTTTCCAATATAGACATCAGTCATAGGGCCATTTTCCCGAACCTTCCACAAAGGCCGAGCTGAATGGTCTCGTTTTTAATACACACCCTCAGTGGGAAGTTGGAGTTGCAACGTTGCAGAGGCTCTTGGAATACCTAAAGCTTCCTCGTTACTTCACCCATTGCTACCTGCAGCAGACCATGAGGCGGACCGCGGATCGGCGGATCGGCGGATCGGATCGGTTTTGGCAGGGCTTTGGGCCTTCGGTATCAACCAATTCATGCGTTTTTGTAGCATAGAATTGATCGAGTATCGGACCGTGGACTGGGTAGCGAAGCTGGTGGCACATGAAGCATTGGGCACACAGCTTGCCAAGAATTTGGACTTGGTGGCTCAAAATTCAGCAAGGTTTCCTGAAACCTTTGGTTTCATGTGTAATCTTCCACTACTTCAAGAGTTTTGCTGCTTTTCCAGCTTGGACCATGGCTTGAGCAGATCCCCGTCAGACCACGAGCAATAATGAGTCCACTTAACTTGCCCTCCCCGAGTATTGTTTGGTTCGCACAGAGAGAGAGAGAGAGAGAGAGAAAGGAGCTTAGCACTTGCTATTTGTCCAAAGCTGGAGAATCAGCAAACACCTCCCCTTATTGCATTATATTGCCATACCAGAAAACGTTCGTCCGCGAGCAGCTTTTGTGTTCGTCTCTCCCGTTCTCGGCACCGTTTCACGGGCTTGACGCGACCTCTCTCGCGTTGTGCGGCGACGACGATGAGAACCTGTCGGAGCTGTGCAGGCCGCATTGCTTCAGCAAGAGTTGGCCGACGCTCTTCATTGGATCGGCTGGATCACAGGCCGACCCCGAGCGGTGCCGACGCGAGCGTCGTCCACTCTGCTGCTCGCGGGATCCTTCGGGCGGGTTTTGGCCCCTTGTGGAGAGGCGCCGGTCATTTGAAGGACAACAATGGTTATACGCTGAATATCCGCTCCTTTGGGATGCCCAGTTGATTAAGTGCTCAAGTGCTCCAAACCCTGCAAAACAATAGGGGGACTCAAACTATATGATGTGTGTGTGTGACTTCGTTGAAGAGTTGCCAGAACGATCACCAAACGATTGCCCAGACTTGCACGGGATGCCTCTGGAAACCACCCTCTCCATTTATACCAGAAGAAGCGCTCTCTTGCAGTGGCATTCTAGGAACATTAAGATACAATACGTGGCAACAGTGTAAAATGATAAGGGTCTCTTTATGTCTCTTTCATAATTGGTTTGTTGTGTCCGATCGTATTTTTGAGGGAAAGCCTAGCTGGAACACCCAATCCCTGTAAAGCGCACTTGGGGCCTCACTCAATCGCTAGACAGGCCATGTACACAAATATTTTCTTTGGGGGGTGGAGGGACCGTCAAAACACCTGGCAGTTGATGTGAAGAAAGGATTGAAGAACCAAAATATAGTCTAGCAATGTCAATGTTTGGCATTCCTCTCATTAATTACTTGCTTTCCGAAAGCATTTGTTTCACAGTTTCATCAACTTGTTTATTTTTGTGTTTGTTTATGTATGATATATATACTGTATATTAACCTGCGGCTTCCCACCGAGGACGGAGCTCGTTCACTTCCGAGGCCAGACTCCATGTGGATCAATGGCACAGCCACTTCTGGATGCACTTGATCTCCGGCCGCATGGCGGAAAGGGGTGATACAACACGGTGGTCCCAGCTGTGTTGGGCCCAGGAGATCCGGGAGGTACAGTTGATCGCTACCGTGGTACTTAGGCGCCGAACGCGACGGACGGTGGACGGAGTTTTCCAAGACATCGCCGCCCTGCTCCGAGACATTGCACATCGGCTCGGCTTCAGTGACTCCTCGTCCCGATCACTGTCGAACTCCGCAACAAGGACAGACAGACAAGGCAACGCTCTGTGAACCAGCTGAGATGAACAGACTATGACAGCGTTCAACTCACCGAGTTACTGTCGTTAAAGCGGAAGATCCAACGTTAGGACCGGGCAAGAAAGAAAACATCGAACTCTTGGTGACTCATAAAAAGCCTGAAATCATGGAGCAAAAAGCAAACACAGCAGTCACTCAATCAAGAAACACCATAGATTTGGTCACTGTTAGGTGCTTTTGCACGAATCACACTCGGCGCAAGACAGCTTCAAAGGCTTGTGGAGCGCTTTTCGGGCTCGTTCACTAGCTGGACCTCTCAACATTGGCCTCCGGATCTGGAGATGTTTTCATATGTTTTCATTACACAGCCTGATGAGATAGAAAATCATCCGGAGCCTCAAGTTCAGGTCTGTTTCTGTCAGTTTCTACATTGACACAGCCTGATCACCTTCGATTCCCAGCTCTGCTCATCTCTTTCCGCCATGCCGCGCGACCCGCGGCAGCGGAAAGAAAGGACTCGTTTGGGCGAAACAGGCAAGTTGCCGTGCAGAAAGCAGTTGCCATTGGGTGAGGACAGTTTCTGGGGCGATGACATGACGAAAGATCATGAAAGCCGGGTAAACAAGGGAAATACCCTGCAGACATCTGCAAAACATGCAGTGGTCTTCCAGTGGGTGGTGTTTCTCTTGGCCGCATGCATGGGTGCGACTAGCTCAGCGTACCTAGCTGCTGGCGTTCCTGGGGTGCTGTCAGACTTGGCAGGTGAAGGAACCTGGAAGTCGGGGAAGCCCAGTCCTTTCTTTTGACCAGCTCAATCCAGCTTCGCTGGACTGGAGCATGTTTTTTCCTCGCTCCGCTCGAGCACAGAGCCCATAGAGCCCATGGGAGGAGAACAAAACAGATATTCCGAACATAATAAAAAGGCTCTGAAGCTCGATTCATGAGTGGACTGGGCAACTCCCATGTACTTTTTGGGAAGGTACAACGGCAGCCGTTCCTCACAGTGCGATGCAGAGCTGATATTCATCACGATGTGGTTCCCAAGTATGGAAGAGGGTATCGAAGATATGATTCTTTTAAGAGGAGTCCAGCTTTCCAGCAGACGGTGCTGGGCGCCCCAAACAGAATGATCAAAACCAGAGTGATGACGATTCCCCGCCTTGGCTGGTGACGTACCTCGACTATTCGACTTTCGTCGGCCTCCAACGGTTCAGCTCGTGAGAAGTTGTTTGCCGGGTGACCGTCGGACCATCGTGGATGAACGCTGGGTTTTGCCGTGGGTGCTGGGTATGATGGTAGGATGTTTCTTCCACAATGTCACCCTCTTGCTGATCAACAATCAAAGAAACACATCCTCATGACAATGGTTTGGGTTCTAGGATTAGATATCCACAAGTCCGGAAGAGATTAAGCCATGCCTGACAGGAGCTTAAGCGATAAGTGCTCGGTTTTAAGCATTGATTGTAGACTTTGAGGATCAATATGTTGGCAAGATACTGCATATGCCTACAGATTTATCAGATCTTAGGGATAGATGCAAGAGTTCAATCCTAGGACCAGCATTTGTGATTGCGTCGAGTACACATGCAACGGTCGGTGCCGTCGCCCCTCTCGATCCACCCAGGACGCCACGCAAATGGGCCAGAGCCGAGAAGGCCGAGGAGACATGAAGCGGGTCCGTTTGGGAGGGAGAACACCTTCGGGAGGTTGGTCCTTTCATTTTGCATAGAATTTTTATGATTAAGTCATATAGGGATTGTTGCACTCACAATCCCGCCTGGTTCCCTAGTTCCTTGGGAAGGATGAGAAGATCCTGCCCGACCTCAGGGATTTCAACCATGACACACACACACACATGGATTCACATATAAGGTGTGGATGGCTCCAGTTTGGACGGAGCAAGCTCTGCGCAGATGGTAGGCCTACCATCTTACAGGTGTCGTAGAGAAAGATGTTCTTCCCAACCTGCATCAAAACACCCTTCCGAAGTGGTTTCTTGCACCAGGACTGGCGGAAGAAAGAGCTGGAGTGGGGAAGCATAGCATTCGCTGTGGCATCTTGTGCCTGCAGCAAACACTATGCATCCCATCAGTTATATTATGTTCTGTTTCAAGTTTCTTTTGGACCTGCAGTTGCTTGTTTTTGATTCACCGAAACACATGCCACCACACACATCAATGTAGGTCACCGCATGGAAGAAGATCCAGCTCGCTTCCACACTCTGAGTCTAAACAAAAGGAAAGCGGCGCCGCCGTGCCTGCTTCGCAACACCGCCTTACACTGGCCGAAAACCGGAGTTTGAGTTCGTGGAAGTCGCGAAAAGACACACCGAGGCGCTTGAACTGCACCAAGTATCACTACTTGAAGTTCGTGGAACGACAAAAGGTCGTCGGGCTTCCCGGGAGGCGTCGCGCTTGGAGAGTCGAATCACGTGACTCGTCGCCGCTGTGCTCTTCGTCGTCATGTGGGACATGACGAAAGCCCGATAGCATCCGGACACATCGAATTGAATAGAAAGTGTCCATGGAAGTGGATGACTATTGAAACCAATAGTCTGTCTCAGAGGTCTCAAAGCCCAGTGGTTCTTTGTTGCGACGACAGCGATGACTGAGCGACCGACTGAGTTGGGACCTGTGAGTTAATGGCAGACGACACCGGGCATCGCTACGAACGGAACGATCGGACGCTACGAACGGGGCTCCTGGCATCGCTAGTAGTAACAAGAAGCTACTAGGAACAAGGGCATCGCTAGTAGGAACAAAGGGCATCGCTGCATCGCTACTAGGAACAAAGGGCATCGCTACTAGGAACGATCGGACGCTACTCTACTAGGAGCAAGGGCACTTCTACTTGCGTCCTTTTGCGTGAAGATTCAGGGGGGGGGTCCAACTTCCAACCGGAGATCTATATAGTAGGTTCGATAATGTTCAATTCAATACACATCACAATGTGGCTTTAGATGGTTTTAGTATGTTTTAGTTGTTTTAAAAGTATCTTGAGTCGTTCGAAAATCGGAAATCATTTCTCCCTCCTGGGCCTTCTTATTTTATCGCCGGTGGCGCAGGTAGGACTTGTCCAGCTGGGATTCCTTACGGACTTGAAAGCACCGGATCGGATCGCATGGGTATGTAGTGGAATAGAGAGACTGCCTGAATGGGTGTTGTCGAAGTTTCGGCATCAAGTTTCGTCGAAGTTCCTGATGTTTCATACATACCCTCCTGTTGGTGGTATGACTTGTAGATGTGTCAGACATGTTTACATATCTTTGCCAGATAAATATGTACTGCATTGTACTGCTATCATACAAATGCAGTCATGAAGGCTGCCCCACCGTAACTCTCGCTACGGCTTGCTTGTTGCCTTAGAGAGCAAAGTGGATGCTCAAGGATTTGGCTTTAAGGTCTTTGTTTTTTCACAGATCCTACCAGCCAGATTTCACAGGTTGTCGAGGAAGATATGATCCAGAAGATGAGCCAGTATCAGTTTCTGTGTGCGTAATGATCACCAGGTCTTGCGAACCGGAGTCCGAATCCAGCCGATGGACTCAAAGCAGCGCGATTCCGGATTCCTAGGACCGATTGAGGTCATATAGGACTGAAAGCAGATGAAGACCCCATTGGTGTTCGGCTCCATTGGTGTTCGAATCTGATCACAGACCCCACGGATTTTTGCCCGCAGCCCAAAGGAAAGGCGCCGTTGTTGTGCCCAGGAACGGAAGATGAAGAGCTGTAAAAAGCGGCTCACCGAAGCACAAGCCAAGGGCCAAGAGGACTGGATCCACACACCATGAAGCATAGCGGCTAGCCTTTCATAGACTCGCCTGACCAGGCATTGCCCGTCACACCGTCAAGAAAAGCTCTTGAAAAGCTGAATTTTGGTATGTCCGTACCACACATCTACACTATCGAATCAAATCAAATCCTGCATTTTTGTGAGATAGTTCCGGCTTTGGATCATCATTTCATCAGTCTCAAGAACTGTACGCATTGCTGCCTCGAAGATTTTCGTACTATTCATTGAAGTGTGCATATTGTATCATATTGTTCCATATCCTGGTTCAAAGTGACACCTTTGAGATTCTGGGTTGAGGTCACTTGGCGTCATTTGAACCTTTTCTTATGGACCCTTAAAAGGTCACTTTGAAGAAGCTGGATTGTTCCTCATTGTGTGGATGCAAGGCTTCAAGGGCCCCAAACATATCCAAACATCATATCCTATCCTACCCTATCGTATAATAGATGGACTTATGACAAACTCATCAAACCTGTACTGTAACCAGTCGGCTCAAAACCCTTTGCTCCCCACTCAAGTATCGATGTTGACATAGACGCCCACAGCCCAAGAGAGCTGCAGGGTTTGAATATCATGTGTTTGTCCATCTACTCTAGGTCCGTGCATGATCAAATCCGTCCATGCGAGACACTTGTGTCGGGGTGGCTCCTTCCTCCTTTGCCCAGAGTGTGGGGTATCGCCAGTCTTGGCTTCCAGAAAAAAGAACAGAGGAACTTTAGGTGAAGTATGTACTCAGGAGATTTCACATACTAGAACATATATGTAGAACATATGTAGAACATCTGGGATTTTTATGTACTCTTGTATAACATATAGTATGCACTCATGAAACTCATTGGGCACCTCCACGTGGTGGCAAGCCACAGGAGCAGGTGAAAGAATTGCAGCAGACCTTGCGGCAACACTTGCTGGATCACGAGTGACCGACGGTCATCAGCCGCACGCGTTCACCCGGGTGAAACCCGGGTTCGTCATCAGCGGTACGTGGAGCCA